TCGTATGAGAATCATGGTGGAGCGGATGAAATCAATGAACGAGGTTTCAAAGGATGAGCCTATACCAGATCGCATTCTCTTTGACACACATCTCCCTCACTTCACTGGTAAAGTTGCTGTAAACTTCACTAATTGCGGCAAGTTAACTGACGAAGAAGCGTGCAAGAACTGTGTCAGCTGGGTAGTTTTATATTGCAAAGCCCAAACGGCACATATCATGCTGCTCACCGTAATTATTGCAGCTTTCAAGTCGAGTGGTCGCGAAACCAAGTTCATCGAAAGGCARTTGGAAACTGCAAAAGYTGAATCKAGRGAAAAGCTGGSTTTTTTATCTAATGAGATGCAAATGAGAAAGAAARGCCGTCAAAGTCGARGTCACACTCTGTTGGCAATATACGTTCGGCGCAGTAATCTAGCGTATAGAGTGATTGAAGGATTTMGAGAAAGYTTGGGAATKGAAAAGATGCCACCACTGAATAAAATTGGTCTTATCGCATTAGAGGCACGTCACTGTTACCCAGAAGATGTGACTCATCGTTACGCACGGCCGCATGCATGGCAGGGTGCCGATTGTCACTACTTTCAGTTGATCAATCACACAGAATTTCCTATCCTMGTGAAATGTGGTAACGGAGTTGGCAAAAAAGTTAATTTGTTGMRGTTTACAGGGAAGTTAAACCCATATTCATCTTATGAACATGCAGCCACAACTAAGTTYAACAGAACATTCTCAACAGGAGGAGTCTTCGTTGTCTATTTTGAAGATCAAGGGAGCCGATTTGAGGAGAACATGCTCGAGAACGATGGYTCRCGTATGAAAGTTTTTGAGTTCGCACTCTCCAAGCCGCTKTTTGGGAAAGACAAATCCGCCATYTTGGATATGTCAGAAGACTTTTCTCCTGCAACTAACGGTCAAAATTGCTGGAAAGAAATGAAAAAAGGAACAGTTTCCAATAGCCCAATTTATTTTGAAGTCGATGGCCTTCCTTACATTGCATTTACTTCATATTCTACCAGGGGCAGAAATCGTTCCCAGACCTGTCGTTTTGTCGTCCAGAATTACAACCCATTAGAAATGCACTTGACTTTAGATCGAATGCAGTCTTTTTACGAAAACCCAGAAGACGTGAGCTACGAGCAATTGGACACCGAGGAAAGACCGCCAGTTCAACAATCACTNTATATTACTGCGTAGAGTTGCAAGTTCTTGATATAAAAGATACATTTTTTTTTTCAATCACGTGTAAATTACCAGTAAGATCAAAGCGAAGCAGCAGTCGTACTTAACCTCGTTTAAACAAAATGCCGTTTTCTTTTCTTCGAAATAAACTGTTGGAAAATTTCTTCGTAATCATAATAAAAAAAAAGAGAATTTTTGTTGCCTCGACTCGAATGCTTTAAAATAAAATTCGCATGATCAGTTCCTATCAACCTAACTGTAGACATCCCGTAACCTCTCGCTGTCATTTAATCTAGATTTCAGCACTTGTTTGATTAGACATAAAATTGCAATCTTTTTTGAATTAAATCTTTTCAGAAACACTTACTGCGTTTCTCTTTTATTATTATTATTCATTTTATTTTATTTATTATTATTGTTATTATTTATATTATTATTATTATTTTTAATATGCTCTTTGCTCAAGATACTCAGAGAATATTCGAGAAAAAAGTTATTTCGCTGCGCACACGAATAGAATATTCTTCCCACTACTCGAAAATAAAATTCATATCTTCTTGCCATCGTGTAATATTCTCTCTCTATGTATCGGATGAACTGGAGATGTCGCAAATCAAAATTTTAGTACGTGATTTTGGCGTTTATTTCGTTAGCGTTTAGCGTTTAGCTGATTTATCCTGATTTTCTAGGGCTTTTCAAGTGACTATGAACTAATTTTAACTAGCCTATTTAATTAGTCTATTTTAGTCTATTTAAAAATAGACTAAAATGACATGGCCAGAAATTCCGGACATTTTAGCCCGAGACGAGTCAGCGGCTTTTCCCACCAAAATAGAGCTTTCTACAAGTTCCCTTGACAAGGTTTGAACTTTTGAAGATCAAATTGTCTACTCTTGTGCAACGATCCTTTATCTTAATATAATACGATACTGGGTTAAAATCGAAACGTTCAAAACATCGACAAACGAGTATTGGGATAGCACGCCCTGATCCTTGAGTTCATTAGTGGCTTGTGAGGTGCTCCTTTGGAATGTTCATGGTGTAAATAATATTATTTGCTGGAACACACGTTTGCCTCAGGTATTTTAAACAATGATCATCACTTGATATTGCGATCTTATGTTTATACTTGTACATTTCTAAGGAATTAAAGGTCTGACATTGTTTACACTAAATAGCGTAGACTTGATTGGCCTATCTTTCGTAAGTATTTCCCGCTATTTACCAGTGCGCGCAAGGCGCCAGTAAAAACCGCCAAAATTAAAGCAGTCCCAGTCTGAAAGCCACGTTTCTAAGGTTTATTTTGGTAACAAACATGGCGAATAAAATGGAAAGAAAATGGAAGATCGAGGCCAATTATTCGCGTGAAACACGAGTCTTCGCCAGCCATTTCACCGTCAAGTTAATGTTTTCAAGTNTTCAAAGCTGATGCCACTCCTGGATGACACTTCCAATTTGAAGTGCCTTAAGCAGCAATTGTTGACTACAGGGACAGGATATCATATATTGTTTGTTTGTTTGTTTGTTTTTTTCCTTTTTTCTTTGTGTGTGTGTGTTTTTTTGTTTTTTTGTTTTTTTTTTTTTTTTGTTCTTAGATAACAAAACATTTTGTTTTGGACTAATAGAAGCCAGCTACCAGAATGAGCTTATGAAAGTGATTAGTTGATTAGTCTCTTATATTGACTTTGTGAATGATATGGAAAAAGGACTGATTCATTCTCTGATCGCATTTTAGGTACTTATGGGAAAGTTGTCAAACTTCAAGATCACAYCTTTYCGCCWTTGTTSTTTGGTAATAATGTCTCGTTTGTATATCGCACAGAATATCCCCAACTGGAATCGAACCAGCCCTTCCTCTTGGAAGTCTTCCTGAAGGGATTTTTTGTGTGTGCGATTAATGTTATTGTGTAACTAAGAAATGTCTGGTTTCAATATAATCACCATTTTGGCTGTTATCACTGACATTTAGTGATGACGAATGCGGAGGTTGTTAGAATTGTTCGACGTTTGTTTTCATATTATTGGTACCATCGGTCAAGTATGTTTTGATACCTGTGATTATATAGAAACCAGTGTCCCAGTGGATAATTAAGAAATGAAGGAAAACTATGAAAGAAGAAATTTAATTTTAAAGATAGGAACAATTAAAGGAGAGACAGAACGAATGAACGAAAGAAAGAAAAAGAGACAGTTAGCGAAAGAAGGAATAAATGGAAAAAATTAAAGAAATTTCGAAACGAAAAAAAGGAAAATATCAAAATAGAAATAACAAAAAAAACGACCAAAGAAAAAACTAGAAAAGGCAAGAAAAGAAAAAAGGAAAAAAAAAGTATATGAAGTTAAAAACAGAAAAACGACAAAAAAAAACAAAAAACAAAACAAAACAAAACGAAAGAAAAAACGAAAGAAGGGCACTAGAACCTTGTGGTTTCGTAACGATTTTACTCTAGTGTTCAGTTGTCCTTGAAAGATAGAAAAGAATAGCGAAAGAAAACAGAAAGAAAGAAAGCGTAGCGCATAATTGCTGTAAGTATGTGTATTTCAGCATTTCCCGCTGAAATGYTACCAAATTTCGAGGGAAAAACCGGAGAACCCGGAGGAAAAAACCCTCTAAGCAATGAAAAATCTCCAACATGATTCACTAGGTGTTACAATCGTTGCTTATGACACACTCATCATAACCACATAGTTTGCTGTAAAGGCGGAATTTGTCTCTTCGAAATAATTAAACCTAGTCCAAATGCAAATTATCACACGGCTATACRASGATGYWGTGTGYTGTCTTTGAGAAACGATTGGAAACATTGGCCTGTAAGAAAAAACAGCAACAACAAGAACAAAAAATCATGAAAAAATACAGCACAAATACGACGCGAAAAACAAAGAATCGCGTATAAACAAACGTGATTACATATCAAACATGTCAAAATGCATAGACAAAATCTAAAGTAAGTAAGTGAATTTTAAGGTCTTTAAACCATACTTATCTTCACTCGTCGTAAGGTCGACGTCTTGCTCKAGTTTGATTTTTTGACATCAGATAGCGAGTCCGTCTAAAAAGACTGGGATGGTGAATCGGTCCCGCGTTTTCAAATATACCACGCTGCTGTTGTCTTGCTTCATCAAAGGCTTCGAAAAGGTCTTGGTTGACAAGAAAATTGTGCGTTGGAAAAGCATATCCCGAAGAAAGAGCACGATTAGCCACGTCGAATCTACTCAAACTTGGTTGAAGATTTCCGACTGCCATTTGATTAGAATGGTAAACTCCCCTTATGTCAATCAGTAGTCTGTCGTAAAGGTCCACCGAGAAGCAATCGACTAACATAACTGCACTTCCCAAAGGTACATCGCCACGGAGACGGTTTAATTCTTCTACGAGAAATGTTCTTCCTTCCTGCCAATAAGGTTGAGGTATGTCCACAGCTCTCTCGTCATTGGATCGTGGTGSCTCCTGGGTATCGTAGCCGACAATTCTTGTTCGTACGTCTTTACCCACTGCTGCTTTTATGCGACGATACCAATCAGTACTCTGGTATGAATCATCTGTGTCATCAATCGGAACATCATTTTGGAGTATGCCATGAACTGATAGTAAGGTGGTGTAGGGAAGACCATCTCCATCTCCTAAAGGTCGTACTGGAAACTGAAGAAAAACTCTGACACATAGAGAATGTACGTCTTCTTGCGCCGCGGTGATATTTCTTGGAAAGCGCCCATTGTTTTCAATTATACGRTCCAAKCTAGAGGCTACTTCTGGAATTTTTTTTATAGCTACCTTCCACGGCATTTTGACCAGCTCAAGAATTGGATACCTGTAAACAGACCAAGAGACTCTTAAAATAGCACGTAAATACTGAATACTTAGACCTACCTCATTATTACAGAAGTCGTAGATTGCATCGTAGGTATGCCTGCCGATTCGTTTGCTGTAGATTTCGATCTGTTTTGCCATTTCCAAATGCTGAAGAAAAGACTGTCTCTCGTCGATCGCCTSCGAATTTTTCCACATTGCCTTAGTGTTACTTATCATGGCGTTCATTTCAGCTTCGATGGGAGCAATTATGGTAGGGGCCCACTTGAGGTGTTCTGCAAAAGAAACAAACTGCAAAGAAGATAATATATCGTTTTGCGAATCATTAATATTTTCGGCGTTTTGTGAATCTCCTTGGTCGTCTCTGACATTTCGTCGCCGTCGCTTCGTCCTTGGCGGAGTGGAAATTTGACTGCTGATGTCGGTTTCACTGCAACTGCTTACCGCGTCATCATTCTTAAATGGAGAAAGAGAAATGTTATGATGATGATGATGATAATAATAAACTTTATTAATAATAATATTGAATAATATTAAACTTTATTAGAAGCTTTAAAAGTAATTAACA